CACACACACACACACACACACACACACACACACACACACACACACACACACAAAACACACACTTCTCCTCTCCTCCACCCCCCTCCCCTCCTCAACACACACCTAGATAGAGGGAGGGGAGCCTGAACTTATCAGAAACACAGAGAGAGAGAAACCACACCCACACACAGACACACACACAACCAGATATAGGGAGGGAGAGAGAGCCAGCCGGAACAAGTCACATTCAGGCAATTAAGAAACACAAAGAGAGAGAAAGAGAGAGAGGAGGGGGGAGGGAGGAGTCGGGGAAACCCCTGAAAGAAACAATATTCAGACTTCTGTATATTTCAGAGAAAAAACGACGGAGACACAGAGAGAGAGAGAGAGAGAGAGAGAGAGAGAGAGAGAGAGAGAGAGAGAGAGAGAGAGAGACATACGTAATCATCGAAAGTAAAATTGAATGGAATTCCTCGCTCCTGGAAAGCCCTCCCCCACGCTTTGTACGTCAATTCATCGGTGTTGATAAGTACACCGTCCAAACCCATCAAGAACAGATCGAACTCGGCAATTGAAAATGGAGGCGCCACAGAACGCGTCACCGGCAGAGAGAATCCGCCACTCGCAGCTGTCGTGGCCATCTCGGACGCGCCTTCTTTTTCCCTTACTCTTCTCACTTCTAACTTCTGAGTCTTCTCCCTCCTGCTGCTGCTCGTCGTCTTCCTCTCCACCTCTCCTCCTCGTAATACTCCTGTCCTCCTCTTCGAGAAGAACTTCTGCAGTCAGACCAGATCAGACCATCAAATCCACTCAGATATGGTCAAATCAAATCTGAATCTTATCAGCTGCTATCCTATGAGATGGACCATGCCTCTTCTCTTGATGGACTGTGCCTTCTCTTGATGCCCTTTCCAACTTCGAAGTCGTAAGACCTTATAGAGCTTCTGAATTGATTGGCAAAACTGGATCAATTGTTAGCAACTTAGCCCCAGAAGTGATTGTCAAAACTGGATCAAGTGTTAACCCCAGATTCAACCAACACGGAGCTGGTGGGATTCTATAGTGGAGTCGTCGAGCTGTGGAGCTCGCTTGCTTTCCTTTTTTTTCAATCCTCTACTTCCTTTTTTTCCCCTCTTTAGTCCTCATCTATATTCAAGATCCACAAACCTCACAACTTCACAAGAACCCACCCGCTCCTCCAGACTGCATATGCCAATGACGCCATCATGGGCATAGAGATTACCACATCCTGACCATCCGTCAAGTTAAACTGATTTTTTGAACGGGACCTTGTCACTTCGACGCCCAATTGCAAGTAAGTGAGCAACAATACAAAAAAATCGAAGTCCGACATTAAAGATATCGAAAAATCGAAAAAAAATCAGAAAACAATGGCAAGAACCTTTGTGAACAACGAAACAGCACCCAATCGCATTGAACCATCGGTGGCCACGAACAACGACTCTTTGTCGAATTGAGGTACCGACCGCCGACCGGTACAACGATGCACTTACATCTGATCTGACCTCGCGATTCCGCCTATTCTTAGATGTATTTGATCGCATTTACCGCCAAACCTCCATATATCTTGCCGCAAACACGTCCAGAAATAAGTGAAAAAGGTCCTAGTGTGAGACTTCGAGTATGCCTTTTCTCTCTCTGTTCTCACGATCGTGAAATATTTGTCATAACAACGCAAGAA